AGCAGCCGACTGCTTTCCGCTCTGGGGCAGAGGAGGGAAGGCGAAGGATGAACTGATGGGCAAAGCAGCGCGTCGGGCTGAGCAACGGTGCAGAAAGGACAGACGTCTAACAGTGGCCGTCGAGAGGAAAGATGGCAGCTGCAGTTCACTTTTGAAGATCCTGCACCGAAACCTGTGTTTTGGACGGACAGGTGGTATCGGCAGTGATAGGCAAGAGAGGGGAAAAAGCAAGGGGAAAAAGTTCCTTTTGTTCAGGCCAGTTGGACACTTGAGGTTCTTACCTGTTTGTCAAGTATAACGCAGCATGACTAGAGCCACGACTGAAAAAGCAAGCGAATAAAACCAGTCAGCAGAGAAGGAAGCACCTTGAAGTATAGACAACCTGGTGAAAGCTGATGATGGCTATTTCAATCTTTCTTATAAAACAAAAATATCGCTTGCAATTGCTTTTTTTGTAAAAACCTCTTTTCCCCCCTTCAGTTTGGCATACTCCCAATGAGCCAGGAAACAATTTCCTTCCACAATCTTTCATCAACAAGTTTGAGCTTTACCTCAAATACTGAAAAATAGTGTTTTTCTTCTAAAAAGCATTTTTTATGATTTTATTTAGTTTGAGGGAAAGCAGTTGAAGCTGGAAAAATGGCGGAGCTGTGTGCCCAAGCAGTAGAATTCCCTTTCTCTGTATCGGTGAAAAACAGATTTGACCCAGCAAAATTATGAGAGTTATAAACAATCTTCCAGCACACCGCTGGTCACCCGCTGGGGTCAATTATAGCTTTTTTGCTGGCATATAAGTATCAGATGTTTGGCTATTGCATGTCTTTACTAATCTCAAACTCAAGTGAAAAAAAAAAAAAACCCTTGGCATAACGTGTCCTATAATTTACTAAGTTTTCTAACAATAGTACATTTTGTATTATTTCATTTGCATTTTTCATCCAAGAACCTAAGAATATGCTCCCCTCGCTAAAGAACAGAGTGATTAATCAACAAGGCTGTTTTCAGGGAAGATGCCTGGCTATGAGAACAAAGTGAGAGACAAAGCTGAGAATAAAATGTCTATAACCCAGTGCTTTGATCACGCAGACAAATGTCTTCTGCAGATATTATTATATTAAACCATTTAAATCTTATTTGTAAAGGTAGCTTAAGCTGGGGTGTTTTCCATGCTTAGGGTGTATTATAACTGAAGAGTATTTTTCTTGTTGGATATTCATTTTTTAAATGCCATAACATTACTTGTACTCCTGTTTCTTGTTTAGAAATCTGTTGCAGTATTAGATCAATTATACACCTGTTTTCTGCAGGGAGGTTCTTCCAATTTTGCATTAATTTCTATCCATTAAAATTACAAAGAATGGTCTGAATAAATTAGAAAGATTTACTCTAGCGAGTACTTCTTAAAATATGCAGGCAAGTCTGCATTTTTAAAACTGGGAGTTGTACTTCTCAAGCTCCGTACATCTACAGAATATAAATGTTGATTAGTACATTAAATGTTTGTGCAAGGCAGCCACTGAACGATCACAAGAGAATTTTGAAAGCTTGCTTAATAACCTGCTGGATTTGTTGTTGTTGTTGTTGTTGTTTTTAACTTTTACCTCTGTGCTTTGAATTCTTTCTTCGCTGCTGTTGTGTCAGATGTCCTCCAGAGCTCTCCCTAACAAGTCATATTCTTCTCTCTGGACCTTGCACACATGAATATGATTTTTTTGTGGTTGTTACAACACTGGGATTGGAGCCAGGGTAGGGATTAAAGCTGCTGCTGCTCTTCTATCTGCAGTGTTTAAACAGACTAGTAGCGAATTTGTTCTGGTATTTCTGTTGAGCTGGGAGGGTGATCCCGTTTTAAGACTGTGCTGCTGGAACAGCAGGACGTCCATACCGTTTTGCAGCCATGGTAGACAAGACCGTTGGTCCCAGTTTCTCCAGCGTATATCCCTGCCTCTTGCTTCGAGCATGCTTGCTGAACCTGTGTTGCCTCCTTTCCCAAACCAAGACGGACTTTTTAGGTCCGTGCTGCAAGTATAACTTTTAAACTAAACTCTCTTTTCTCAGGCAGGGAGGAGATGTGTGGAGGAAGGAATCAAGAACGAGTTGGTGGGACTAACCAGATGTCTGAGAAATGTCCCTTCTCAGGTGCTTGTTCTTGCCGAGCTCTCAGGCAAGGACGTTCAGACAGTTGTTTGATAACCTGAGTAAAAAGGGGTGAAGGCAGCCCTTTTGCGAGGGACCTCCTATATTATCCCTTTTGGCAGAATTATTGATAGGTAGAGTTAGAGGCTGGTTATGTATTGAGCTGGGAAACTAAATGAGTTCCCCCTCAAGAAAAATGCCAAATATGTGGGGAAGGTACCTCTTTCTTAACGTGTTTTATAAAGTCTGGTCATAAATGTGCTGTCAATGCAGAACCTCTCCCCTGTGCCTATAAAGACTACTAAAAGCTAGTTTAAAAAAAAAAAAAAGCAAACACTTTTCCTAGTCTAGCTTCTTTTCAGAGAGACACCAAAGCTAATAGTTGCACATCGTACAGTCAGGTATAGGATGCAATTTCATCGCCGTAAACAGGCGCAATTCCTCTTGCCTCAAGGGCTCTGCACCTGTGCGTGTCCCGGAGGGCTTTGGAAGGTGATACCGTGGACGACATGGCCATAACGGGCTCTTTGTGAGCCTCAGATTGCTGTCCTAGCTGCACGTTCACACGTGTGTTGCCAAAGGAACGCGTTGAGGCGTTAACTGTTGCAAATAAGCTCAGTTTTGTAGCACGATGGTGATTTTGATTAATAAACGTATGCCTGCTCTCTGTGCTTGAGGGTTTTACTGTCATGGCGGAGAGCGACTTCTGTGCCTGAATGAACGTGCATGTAAGTTGGTCTATGTCAGGAGCCTTGTTTATACCCTTCCCCACAAAAATCCGCTGCTGCTGGGTCTTCTGCATAATGGACAATTGAAGCCTAAACAGTTCAATTGCCAGGAGTTGTAGTTACAAAAGAAATTCAGTAATCTAGTCAATGGCACTGGGGTGCCTAAGCCAGTCCATTGTTTTGGCAGTTGTCAGTGGATTCCCCTTGCAGGAGAAACCTATAAATGTAACAGCCTTCTCCTAGATCATTGTAAAACCAATCTATAATAATTATGTTGCTGAGATACCATTTTCTATTAAATTTGTGTGGTTTTAGAGTAATTTCTAGGGGGTTTCTTTGGAACCCTGTTGACCTCATCTCTGAGCAATTCTGTGGGACTTTCTGTAAGAATTATCCCTAGGTGACATCTTAAGTGACTTGAGGATATTCAGAAAAGTTAATGAGGGGCACGTCTGTGAGCATGACTCATCTGCAATATTGAATGATAAATGTTTATTATCTTTGGGCTCTGTACGTAAGTTCTATGTCTTGGAATGTCCCCAGAAAGATGCGGCTGTGACAGCAAAGCCATCCATAGTGATTGAATTTATAGTGGACCCTTTTTTTTTTTTTTTAATTTGCTCTAGGTGTTCTCTGCCTGCCAGACAGCTTGAACCTCCACAAAGACCAGCAGAGGTCGAACAAGCCTGGGGAAGTGCAGATGTTCAGCCAGTCAGAGTTACGGACCATCGAGCAGTCTCTACTTGCTACACGTGTGGGGAGCATTGCTGAGCTCAGTAAGTACAAGATCCTTTATAATGTTGGCATTTTTTCCTATAAGTAAAACAAAGCCTGGCTCTGCAGAAGAGAGACAAGGGGGCACATGTAATATTGAAGACAGCAGTGGGAAAGATGCTGCTCCATGGCCAGTTTCAAAGCCAGAGGTGAAGCCCTGGGAGGAAAGAAGTCTAGCGCAGCAGCGAGTATGGCTTGTTTGCACACACTGCTCTTATTTTTAAAGGTGAAAAATGGCCAGGCTTGCGAACATCTTTAAGATCAGCGTCCTGTCTCTTATTTTACTGAGATGCCCATTTTGAGACTGAAGATTGCTATAAATGAAAGAAATAAATATTGTCACAAACTGAAAGCAGAGCCAGTTCCATCCATGTTACAGAGGGTCCTTCACTCTAACTGTCCTTCCCCAAATTCAGCAGAGGAGAGAACCACAAATTAAACCTGTAGCAGAGGAATTAGCACCAGGAAGAGAAAATGCTTGTCATTGATCAAAACTCTTTCTGAGAAATGTGATAAGTTATGGTATCTGTCAAAATCTGAAAGCTTTAATTGCAGCACAAATAAATTATTTACAGTTCTCTGTATACTGCCTACATGTCATGTTTGTAGGAGGCAAATGCCAATGCGAGTCCTAATGCAATACGGAGATAAAGGGACTAAAAGTGCCTCTTTTGAATGTTTTGAGGAAGCCTTATCATCACATGTTTACAGTGTAGTTAAAGATGGGAGGTTATGGGTGGGAAAACAGAAATGGTCAGAAAAAGATTTTTTTTTTTTTCCGAGGTCTGTTATGCAATTTTGAGAGGGGGCCGGGAATTGGAAAGAATCAAATATAAGGAAATACAAGCAGCCAACTTACTGTTGGTTCTTCATATTGGAATCTGTGTTACCAGTGTCGTGAAGAACATGCACGGGGAACTCAATTTCGTTTTCCTAGCTTTTTTACTGTAGCAACAGGAGTCTCCTGCAGCTCCGTTATGTCATCCAGTCTCAGTTTACGTGCTGTTTATGAGCACTATGATGTTTGCTTGCAAGCCAACAATACAAATTTCTGTTTTCAACTTGCTGAATTTTTCTCTATTCTGGTGAAACATCAGCAAGCCAAGAGTACTTGTTTTAGCGTGAAGTGTTACTCCATCTCTAGAATCAGTTATGTTTGGTGTTATTCAAATCAAGTAATTTATGTTTATTTATTTCTTGAGTATAAAATATACAACAGGCTTTCCATATGCTGGCTAAATTATGCATTATGCATCTCTCTTTCTTAAAGTACTTATGGTTGCATTTTAATAAATAAGTAATCTATGGATAGTTCCTTTTTTTTCCATTCTGGATTTTTTTCTCTGAACCTCTGTACCCAAAATGTTGGACTCTTTCATTCCCTCCCTACCTTTTTTTTTTTTTTTTTTTTTTTTAATTTCTGGAAATTAACATCTCTAAGGACTGTCTCAGATTCAAATGCTTGGTTAACGTGGTTTGCTCTGTGTATATCTGTTGACTCCAAACACAGGCTAAACATTCTTCAGGGTGGTAACTTGAACAAAACAGCATATCAGTGGGAGTTATACGCAGATGTCGGAGAGAGTTTGGCACTTTTAGCATACTGGTAGTGCTCCAAAAAGCCCTGTGGACAGCAGTTGAGGGTACCTCCCCGTCCACTGCAAGCAGATTCATGTCATGGAAGGAATATTAGGGGTAGCGGTAACTGGCAAAGCTTGCAAGGCTTTATTGCAAGGCTCAATTTGATGGCAGTTCTTTGCTTTGGAATAACGTTGGTGCAGAGTTCAACGTTAATTCTCAAACGTCAAAGGAGGTTCTCAATCTCAGTAAGCAGAACTGTACTCATTTAGGGGAAAACTGTAAAATGGAAGGAAAACAAGGGGTACGAGGAGGTTTGCTGTGTGTTCAGCACTTTCGTATTTGTGTCTGCAGTTACAGCAGGTTGTAATCTGGAGAACAGAGCGAGCCTCTACCGTGGAGGGAGAATAGGGAGTAGTATGGGAGAAGTAACATTTAGCAATGGGGAAGGAGCCAATGTGGAACATCTGGCGATCCGAATGTATTGGTGGGAAGGGTGAAGGGGGATTTATCATTGCCCTGGTGTAACAGGGAGAACAGAGATCTTCAGAACTGGCATTACAGAGAGAAAAGAGGATATAGGAACCTCTGGAATAGAGAAAATGAGGTATGGGGGAAGGAGGATTGTATGTGTAAAAGCCCCTGCTCTCCTGGGAATAGAACGGAAGATGCATGTAGGGCCCTCGAATAAAGTGTTGAGGGGAGCCTCTGAAATGAGGGGGAATTAGAGGATTGTCCTTGTGAAGGTGAGCAGGAGATGGAAACCAGATGTGAGTGGCAAGGACAAAAGCTTGACCTGCTGTAGAAGCAGAGCAGGCGCTCCATGGTGTGTGTCTGCAGCGTCACACCAGCTTGCAGTATCCCAGGAGTCAGAACTTAATTTCTGTGTTCTTTATAAGTGCACAAAAAAACAAGGGTGAAGAGTGATCTTGCAGTAACGCAATTTAGTTTTATCTTGGAGGAAAAAGGAAAGGCAATTCTAACTGAATGAGATTTTCTACAGTTTATCAACATTAATAATTAAAGTATTGTAAGTATGCAGAATAATTAGAAATTAAAAATACGCTTATGCAGAGGAAGGACTTCCCTTGCTCTCAGCTCTGTCTGTGATCCTCACACATAGCAGCGTCACCAGCTGCTGAGCTGCTAGAGGCTTTGAGAGTGGGAAATGAAATCTATCTCTTAGAAGACGACGGCTGGCAAACTGAGTCTCTTTACGGGCCAGTGTCTATATTTCTGTTTAAATATCCTTAGTTTCTTCAGGATCTTTGTGTCTAACCCAGGTGGAAGATAAAGTAATTTATCCTAAGTGAAGTGTTGCATGTTGCTGTATTTTCACCTTCTCCTGTATGTGATACTGTCATTCATCTGCTCCCCATGTGGTCAAGGACAGGTCCTGAGCGTTGGGTGCTGCCACATGGGAAGCCCTTTCCTGTGTTTGGGCTTTGGTTCCTGAGGGGCTGGTGCCCGCTGGTGGCTTCAGGCAGGCTGGAGATTCCCTGAGATGGGGTCCGTCTTTGGTCTAGGTGGGTTGTGCCCGTCCTTTTTAAGAAGCAAGTCAGCTGAAGACCTGTACCTCCCTCTAAGTAAGGGAGAGCAGGGCTTTTGGCCTTCTCACAAGCTCAGCCAGAGTTTTAAAAGAGATTAAAGTAGATCAGGGCCTTCGACTGCTGAAATGCAGAACAGCCTTTTCGGAGAGAGGATGGCCTTAGCCCCATGACAACATTGCCAGTATTGGCAGCGTTGTTTGAATTGAATTTCCCCTGTTTTAACTGAGGCAGCACAAGCAATCCCTACAAGGAAGGAGCCGTTTCATAGCTTCTGCCTGTAGTTTGAAATGTTCTGGGGACATTGATCATTTTGGTACACTAAAAGGCTTGGTTTTTTCCCCCTCAGATTTCATTCTTTTCTGTAGAAATAGCTGGGGACAGACCGGGTGGTTATTTATGGGAGGGCTGGAGATTCGCTGGGAAAAAGTCCTACCTTTTGGTTGTAGTGTGAGAGGAATTACTAGTTTCTTTCTGACACTTGTGTTGCTTGGTTTGGCTGTGTCATTACTTCAAGTATATAAAAATTGTCCATAGTGGCAGGCAGGAACCTTATCTGCTGTCATGCTGATGTGGAATTGCTTCTTACAGTTCTTCTGCAAGTATTTTTGAGGACTTCTCTGGAGTAGCTGAACTGCTTGTTTATCTCTCTGTTGACTCCACGTTTCATGAAGTTGGCAAATCAACCAATGTAATCTATTGGAATCGGCTGGCCCAGAAATGCTGACGTGGGTATCAGTGAGCAGCTTTTCAGCCCTAAATCTGTGGAACGTATTGATAGGCTCTGTGGGTTTGCAGAGCTCTCATCCCTCCTTGTTCATCTGACAAATGGGACTGCATGCCTGGGGTAGAAGTTGCCCAAACTTTTGTTTCTCTGTCCTCCTCTTACTCTGAATCGTGCCCTTCATCAGTGGCCTTTGGCAGTGATAGCTGAAGTTCACTGCTGTCTGGCTTGCCAATGGCAAAGGCAAATGATACTACCATTCACTTCTTTAGCTCTATTTATGTGAGGTGCTCTGCAGACATACTAGAAAAGACCATTTAGGTGAGCTGTGCCTCCCTGAGGGCTGGCAGGGGGAAGAGAAAAGGGAAACAAGGTGGGATGAGGAATACAACTGTAGCAGGATGGTATTGGCATAGTTTTTAATCGGCTACATGCTGATGGGTTATCTGCAAGGGTGTGCGCTCTCTGCAGTGCAAGCTGTGACTATCGGGATGCAGATACACTGCAATTAGAGGTATCATTACACTCTGGGTGACATGGCTATGCTAATTTTAAACTTCAGTAGCTTCAATAAACGTAACAGCAGTAATGAAACCACTGTAATGTGAGCTTCAGTATAGGTGGGCTGCTAGGTAAGCGCTCCTTGGTGCCCATGTGGAGCTGCCTCTGCAGCCCATGCTGCTGCCGCTGCTGCCAAGCGAAGTGGTGATGCTGGAGATGCGAAGGTTGGTCCAAGTGGCAGTGAAAACTCTTTACAGCAGAGCAGGTGCAACTGGACTCGGGTGTTTTGCTCCAGTCTGGCACAAACCTTGCTGGCATGAGGTCAGTGGTACTTTTACTCTCATCTAGTGGGTTGCCCAGGGAGGAAGCGAAGGTCTGGATGCAGCTTGTCAGCGAGACATCCCTGCCCTGTCCCGTGCTTTCCTGGCATTCCCAGGCAGGGTCTCCCGCGATGCCCTGGGAGAAAAGCCGCTCCGCTCTGCTTGCGGCAGCACAGTGGGGAGAAACAGCGGAGAGATGCGGATGGGCAGGAAAGCACCAGCCTCCTCCACGCTGGCGGGTTGCCCCTTGCTATATTTTCTTGGAGGCGTTGTGGAGCTGCTGCCAGTGTGGGGACCACACCAACACGTTGATCTCAAAATGTCATGGATGG